AGGAAGGAAGGAAGAAAGGAAGAAAGGAAGAAAGGAAGAAAAGAAAGAAAAGAAAGAAAAGAAAGAAAAGAAAGAAAAGAAAGAAAGAAGGCAGGCAGGCAGGCAGGCAGGCAGGCAGGCAGGCAGGAAGGAAGGAAGGAAGGAAGGGTAAAGGGAAGGCAGGCAGGCAGGCAGATGTCTTTAAGAAGTCCCAACCCCACCCAATGGAGTTGTTCCTTCTATTTTGAGCTACCAAACCATAACCATTCCTCACCCCCGGACTACATTCCCCATCACTACCCGTCGATACCAGCGGATTCCAATACTAGCAATTTTATTTTTGATTTTCCTGATGATTAATGAAACTTTTTCTGGGGCTCCACCGTCTGTTTCCTACTTGCCCCTGTTGATGGAGACTTTCACAGCTGTATAATCTGCCAGGTGAGCAGAAACCCAAAGCCTAGGTGGCTGTGGAGAAGGCAACCCTAAGTCAGCTTTCTAACATATTTCTTGCCCTCTATTAAATAAACATGGCTTGTTCCACATTTGGGTTTTCTGGAGTATCAAAGTTTGCAATTTCTGCCTCTGATAGTGGCAACCAAAACATCTAGGTCTGTAAAATGTTTATTATTTTTTTTATTTTATTGGAGGCATTAGGCTAATATCAAGCATGACTGGATATCTTCAAAGATGATTTAGCTTCTTGCTTAGGACGCCTGCTTCTGTTGCATTTATGTATTATGACTTGCTCCCCAAGAATGAAAGTTCAAAGGGATGTGCAAACTTGCAGGCTGATGGTTGTATAAATGGAAATTCCTGGCTTTTTATGTCATGAAGTTGAATATTCTGTAACATTGTTTGTGGAAACCGAGTCATTAAGAGAGAGAGATTATTTGCACAAACGGTATACGGTAGGAGGTTGCTTGGAATAGAGCTCTAACTGGTTCTGGCTTACCATATATGAGCATAAAATTCAGAAAAATGTGGAGCGATCTTTCCATATTGCCTTCTCATTGTGTTCTGTCCCATCCTATCCTGTCTTCCTCATCTGTCTGTCTGTCTGTTCCACCCAATGTTTTTAAACCTTGACTACTTTAAGACGTGTGGACTTCAACTCCCAGAATTCCCCAGCCAGCATGGCTGGCTGGGGAA